GGCATGACCCATCCTGACTGGCCTTTCAGATTCTTTAGACTCACAGGGTCCAATGGAAATAGTAAGTGAGCTTAGACGGGGCGCGGTGGCTCACCCTTGTAATCCCAGCACTTTGGGAGGCTGCGGCAGGTGGATCATGACATCAAGAGATTGAGACCAGCCTGGCCAACATGGTGAAACCCCGTCTCTACTAAAAACACAAAAATTAGTTGGGCGTGGTGGCGCATGTCTGTAATCCCAGCTTCTCAGGAGGCTGAAGCAGGAGAACCACTTGAACCCAGGAGGTGGAGGTTGCAGTCAGCCGAGATCACAGCACTGCACTCCAGCCTGGAAGGCAGAGTAAGACTCCATCTCAAAAAAAAAAAAAACCTAGTATTTCACGTTTACAACATATCTCAATTCAGACTAGCCACAAGCACCTCTCAACAGTCTACTTTAAGTCAAATCCATGTCTGCTCAAGACAGGGTTTCGGGTGGGTAGTGACAGTAAGTCCTGGAAGGGGAAGGAAACACGCTTTGTTTCCTGGGTCCTGTGGCTCAGCAGCTTTCTACACCCTTGATTCTCAGACTTCCTAATGTGCATCAGAATCATATAGAGACTTTGATCATTAGATCTGGGATAAGACCCAAGAAAGTGCTGCTTTTTTTCTCTCTCTTTTTTTTTTTTTTTTTCCCCAAGACGGAGTCTCACTCTGTCACCAGGCTGGAGTGCAGTGGTGCGATCTTGGCTCACTGCAACCTCCACCTCCCAGGTTCAAGCAATTCTCCTGCCTCAGCCTCCTGAGTGGCTGGGACTACAGGCACCTGCCACCACGCCCAGCTAATTTTTGTATTTTTAGTAGAGATGGGGTTTCTCCATGTTGGTCAGGCTAGTCTCGAACTCCTGACCTCAGGTGATCCACCTGCCTCGGCCTCCCAAAGTTCTAGGATTACAGGTATGATCTCTCTCTCTCTTTTTTTCTTTTCTTTTTTTTTTTGAGACAGGGTCGTGCTCTGTTGCCAGGCGCTGGGCTGGAGGGCAGTGGTGTGATCTCAGCTCACTGCAACTTCCGCCTTCTGGATTCAAGCAATTCTCCTGCCTCAGCCTCCCAAGTAGCTGAGACCACAGGCACATGCCACCATGCCCAGCTAATTTTTGTAGTTTTTAGTAGAGACGGGGTTTTACCATGGTCTTGATCTCTTGACCTTGTGATCCGCCCACCTAGGCCTCTCAAAGTGCTGGGATAACATTTTTTTTTTTTTTTTTTAAAGACTTTGTCCGTGCTAGTATATACAATGGAGTGTTGGGGGTGGGGGAAGACGACTTTGTCTTGCTGTATTGCCCAGGCTGGTCTCCACCTTCAGGACTCAAGCAGTCCTCCCACCTCAGCCTCCCAAAGTGCTGGGATTACAGGCATGAGCCACTGTACCTGGTCCCTGACGGTGCATGTCTAGCAGTTCCCCAAGCATCTCAGATACTGCTGGTCCTGCCACTACTGTGAGAACTGCTGGTTTACACTTCCTTCATGGTTCTCACTCAGCTGCACATTGGAATCACCTGGGAGCTTCAAAAAATACTGATGTCAAGCCCTTCCCCCATCTGACTGACTTCACATATAGAAGCCTCCAGTTGAGTTTAACATTCAGGAAAGTTAGAGTCCCTCATCTATACTTTGTGTGTGTGTGTGTTTTGTTTTGTTTTTGAGATGGAGTTTCGCTCTTATTGCTCAGGCTGGAGTGCAGTGGCTCGATCTCCACTCAGGACAACCTCCACCTCCCAGGTTCACGGGATTCTCCTGGCTCAGCCTCCCGAGTAGCTGAGATTACAGGCAAGCACCAGCACGCCCAGCTAATTTTGTATTTTTTTTTTTTAGTACACAAAGGGTTTCTCCATGTTGGTCGGGTTTGTCTGCAACTCTCAGCCTCAGGTGATCAGCCCACCTCGGCATCCCAAAGTGCTGGGATTACAGGTGTGAGCCACCGCATCCAACCCTTGTCTATACTTAAGTAGTCCTGTCCACTCTTTTTTGAGACGGGTGATTCTCCTGCCTCAGCCTCTTGAGTAGCTGAGACTACAGGAGCACACCACCAAGCCTGACAATTTTTCTTTCTTTCTTTTTTTTTTTTTTTTTAGAGACAGGGTTTCACAATGCTGGCCAGGATGGTCTCGATCTCTTGACCTTGTGATCCGCCCACCTCGGCCTCCCAGAGTGCTGGGATGACAGGCGTGAGCCACTGCACCCGGCCTTAATTTTTCTATTTTTTAGTAGAGACGGCATTTCGCCATGTTGGCCAGGCTAGTCTGGAACACCTGACCTCAGATGATCCACCTGCCTTGGTCTCCCAAACTGCTGGGATTACAGGCATGAGCCACCGTGCCCTGCCCCTGTCCATTCTTGATAGACTTAATTCTTGGCTCCCCTGCTTTAAATGAAGCCCAGCCTCCAGGTGTTTCCATTTTCCACTTCCCAGGCTCTCTCCGGCCTTTCTCTACACGTCTCCCACAGTCACGGTGAAGTATGCCGAGGAGGGGGTAGCTGTGCCAATGATGGATGGGGTCAGATGATGAGCCCTTCTTGGCTGACCTGCTGTTGGGTGCAGCCCTGTATCGGCGTGACCTCTCTGTATTTTATGCCTATGGATTTCACTAGATATTTGAGGTACCTATACAAGAGACAGAGTTGGACAGCTTACTGCAAGCTCTGTCTCCTGGGTTCAAAAGATTCTCCTGCCTCAGCCTCCCAAGTAGCTGGTGGCTCCCGCCACCACGCCCAGCTAATTGTTTTGTATTTTTAGTAGAGACAGGGTTTCACCATGTTGGCCAGGCTGGTGTTTTTGTTATTTTAAGACAGAGTCTCGCTCTGTCGCCCAGGCTGGAGTGCAGTGACGTGATCTCAAGAGCCAAGAGTTTAAGCAGCAATTCTAAAACATTCCTGGGTTGAGTGTGGTGGTTCATTCCTGTAGTCCCAGCTACTCAGGAGGCTGAGGCAGGTGGGTCACTTGAGCCCAGGAGATCAAGGTTACAGTGAACTGTGATCATGCCACTGCACTACAGACTGCATGACAGCAAGACCCTGTCTCCAAAATTGAAAACATTTTTTTTTTTTTTTACCGAGTTTCGCTCTTATTGCCCAGGCTGCGGTGCAGTGGCAGAGTCTCGGCTCACTGCCACCTCTGCCTCCTGGGTTCAAGTGATTCTCCTGTCTCAGAGTAGGTGGGATTACAGGCATGTGCCACCATGCCCAGCTAATTTTGTATTTTTAGTAGAGACAGGGTTTCTCTATGTTGGTCAGGCTGGTCTTGAACTCCCAACCTTGAGTGATCCACCTGCCTGGGCCTCCCAAAGTGTAGGGATTATAAAAAATACAAAAAATTAGCTGGGTGCGATGGTGTGTACCTGTAATCCCAGCTACTCAGGGGCAGGAGAATTGCTTAAGCCCAGGAAGTGGAGGTTGCAGTGAGTGGAGATTGCACCTTTGCACTCCAGCCTGGGTGACAGAGCAAGACTCAAAAATTTTTTTTTCTAAATAGTCACAGTCATAAAAATTCAGATTTCTCTTTTCAAAAGCTAGGTTTCAGTTGCTTTTTTTTTTTTTTTTTTTTTTTTTTTTTTGAGACGGAGTTTTGCTCTTGTTACCCAGGCTGGAGTGCAATGGCGCGATCTCGGCTCACCGCAACCTCCGCCTCCAGGGTTCAAGCAATTCTCCTGCCTCAGCCTCCTGAGTAGCTGGGATTACAGGCACGCACCACCACGCCCAGCTAATTTTTTGTATTTTTTAGTAGAGACGGGGTTTCACCATGTTGACCAGGATGGTCTCGATCTCTTGACCTCGTGATCCACCCGCCTCGGCCTCCCAAAGTGCTGGGATTACAGGCTTGAGCCACCGCGCCTGGCTTTTTTTTTTTTTTTTTTTTTAAGAGAGAGTGTCTCACTCTGTCCCCCAGGCTGGAGTGCAGTGGTGTGTTCTTGGCTCACTGCAACCTCTGCCTCCCAGGTTCGAGTGATCCCCCTGCCTCAGCCTCCTGAGTAGCAGGATTACACACGTGTGCCACCACACCCAGCTATATTTTTTTGGTATTTTTACTAGAGACCGGGTTTCACCATGTTAGCCAGGCTGGTCTGGAACTCCTGACCTCAAGTGATCCACCTACCTCGGCCTCCCAAAGTGCGGGATGCTTTTTATTTATTTATTTTTGATGCTTGCCTGCACGCAGACATGGGTGCTTCTGGAAAGCAGAAACTCTTGACCCAACACTATGAATGAGGTGTGCTCATTCGTCGTGAGGACCCATGAGGTCAAGAATGGTGATCATTAGTAACTAATGATGTTTAGAAGCCTGAACTCTTACCACCTCTTTGTGTGTCTATGTGTGTATTTTTTGGTTTTTGTTTTTTGTTTTGAGACGGAGTTTGGCTCTTGTCGCCCAGCTGAAGTGCAATGGCATAATCTCAGCTCACTGCAACCTCCAACTCCCGGGTTCAAGCGATTCTCCTTCCTCAGCCTCCCGAGTAGCTGGAATTACAGCCGCCCGACACCACGACCGGCTAATTTTTTTTTTTTTTTTTTTTTTTTTAAGTAGAGACGGGGTTTCACCATGTTGGCCAGGCTGGTCTTGAACTGCTGACCTCAGGTGATCCACCCGCCTCGGCCTCCCAAAGTGCTGGGATTACAGGCCTGAGCCACCGCGCCCGGCCTCAGTAGCTATTGTTTACGTTCCCAAGGTAGGAACAGTCTTTTAACATCTCTGTCTAGCCAATGCACCAATAGTTGAAGAGGAATCCTGGAAACAGAGGGCGTGAACTCGGTCCGAGCGCCACATTTTGCACCCGGCCGCCAGGGGGCGGTAGGACGTGGGCCAGGCCGGGTCTGGCAGTGCATGGGAGGCGGGCAGCCCCAGAACAGGGCGATAAGGGCGCATTCCCGCATTCCGGCCCGCACCTCTTGGCGCTTTCTCGGGCCTCTCTCGACCCGCCGTGTCCCGCCCCACTCCAGAGGAAGAGGACCCAGAACAAAACTGGCTGCAGTGCCCTGAAAGAAGAGGCTTTATTGGCGGTGCGGGAAGTGGGGCAGCCGCGGCCGTAACCCCGGCCCTCTTACAGTCAAAGGAGTGGGTAGTTCAGTGTACAATTAGGCGGAGAAGGGCTGCACAGTTTGTCTGGTGGAGTTGTGGGTGGTGGACAGTTTCCCAATGGGGGACTCTAAGTTTTATAGACGGGGCTGGTCAATTTCACAAAGTCAAGTTCAACGATGGTCTGGTCGATTTCATCTTCCCCAATGCAGAGGGCCGACCCTTCCAGGCCTTCTGCTAGACGCTCCCCGCCCTGGTCCTCTGACGCGTACGTTACTTCCGGCCGGGGGTCCCAGCCTGCTCAAACCTCAAGGTTTGCGCTCCTCCTGGGGGCAGAGGGCCAGAAGGAAGGCCGGCCTCAGGGACCTGCGCACCGCACCCAAGCTCAGGGTGGGGCGGTTTGGGCCCCAAGACCACTGTCTCCTCTTCACCCCTGATGCGTCCCACATTGAGTTCGGACCAGAATGACCCTCCAGGGGGGATGCGCCTTTCCCCACCCATCGTCCTGGCAGCGGAGGGCTAGGGGAAGCGACAAGCGCTAAAGACACACAGGTAAAGGGGCTCCCACCTGCTGCAGGCCGTTCTCCGAGGCCTTTCTGCGGGGGGGCCAGATCACCGCCAACTTTCCATCGCCCCTGCTCGCTAGGGGGGGAAGGGGCGCTCATCTCACCAGCTGGAGGCAGCCAGGATGAAAAAGGCCGGCCGCACCCCTTAAACACACACAGGCGTTCACCCTCCGCCTCCCCGTAAAAGCCTCCACTTAGCTCCAGGGACCCAGGAACCCGAGGGAGGAGGGAGGTGAACCCAGAATGGAGAGGCAGGAGCCTGAAAATGCAGAGGGAGGACCCAGGAGTGCCAGAACCCAGTCAGGGTTCCCTGGAACCCGACAAAGAGGAAGACATCTGGAATGCCCCCAGCCATCCCCGCGCAGCCTGGGTGGTGTGGATCAGAGAGTTCATCCCTCCCGGTGGAGGGGTGGATCACAGCGAGTAATGCAGCCCCAGAAGGGGTGGGCAAGAGACAAAGTTGAGAAGGGGTCGGAGGAGCCTGCGAGCTTGGAGAGAGAGACCCCGAGAATCGGAGGGCCAGAGGAGGGGCCACCTAAGCCGGGCAGTCGGTGGGGGCGGCTGGAACCCTGGGGGTCCCTGGCGTTTCCGCGCCCGCAGCTTACCGGTGAGACTCGGCGTAGGCTCCTTGAACTCCGCGGTGCCGTAGACACTGCGCCGCTGGCGCTGCAGCTCCTGCTCGCGCTCGCGCACCGCGCGCACCTCCTGCTCCAGCAGTGACGGAGCGAAAGGCGGCGGGGCGCGGGCCAGCACCGGGCACCGGCCCTGCACGGCCGAGCGCGCCCGGCCCCCGGGCTCTGGCAGCCCCTTAGGTCCCGCGCCGCCCCCCGCCCCCGCCGAGGAGCCACTCCCCGCCGCAGCCTCGAAGAAGCGCTTGAGTTCGCCCAGCGGCTGCGGCGGCGACTGGGCGCGCGGCTCCGCGGCCGCGGGGCGCGCCAGCGCCGCCTGCCGGTGGGCCTCCCGCTCGATGTCCCGCTGCATCTGCGCTCCCGCCCGCGCGCGCTCCAGGGCGCGCGGGAGCGCGGGGCCAGGACCCGGCAGGTTGAGCACTGGCCGCACGCGCAGCTCCACGAGTTCGCGGCCCGCGCGGCCAGAGCTCAGGCCCCGGCTCCGGCGCAGGCTCTCCTCGCGTTCGCAGCTGCGGCGGATTTCGCGCTCTATGGGCGTCTCCATGAACAGCTCCTCCGGGGGACGTTGGGGAGCTTCGGGGCACGGCGGAAAACGCAGGTGGGGGACTTCCGAGCCTGACCTGGAGGAGGAAGTATCAGGCCCGGACTGGGACGCTGCCCCTAGATCCCCGCGCCTTGCGCTTCGGACGGCCCAGGGTCGTCTCTGCCTGGCTCAGGACTCTCAAAGCCTGCCGCTGTGGACAACCCAGGGCGCCCGGAGTCCTGCTTCACTGATGGCTCGAGGATTTCGCTTTCTTGCTCGAGGGTCTCTACGTCCTTTGCGGAGGGCTTGGGGACCTCGCCGCCCGGCCTGGGACTTCAGTGTTCAGCTCCGCAACAGGTTCTGGGGCTTCGCTGTCTGGCCCTGGGGGCTCGTGGCCCCCCTCTTCAGACGACCCTAGGGTTTCGCTCTCCAGCTGGGGGACCTCGGTGTCCAGGGTTGGAAGCAGCTCGGAAGCGTCAGTTCCCAGTCGGGGTTTTGATGCCCAGAGTTAGGACACAGCCCTGTGAGGCACCTGTGGTCGCGGTCGCCGCTCGTAGGTTCCAAGGCGTCGCCCGCACCCGCCGCTTCTCTGACCCGCCTCTGGCCTCCAGGAACTGCCCCCGGGGGCAGGGCTGGGCACCGCCCCCGGCACCTGCCAGGAGGACTCCGGCCCCGCCCTGGCGCCGCCCTCGGGACTAGGGCGCCTTGGTGGGGCACCCAGTTTCATCAGCTAGCGCGCCCAGTCAGCTTCAGGGCACAGGACTTCTTGGAAGAGGGCTTCCCTAGACCCGGCTCCGCTACCTGGGGGGCCGCTCTGGGTGCTGTGCTCTTCTCCTGAGCGCACCCTGGCACTTTTTCAGAACCATGTCCTCGTCATCGTCCAAGAGACTGAGCCCCAGGAGCGCGTCGGACTGGGGTTCTGAACCACCATCCCTTTGTGAGGTGTCCCCCCGAAGTCGTCTTTCCGGAACCCGGGCAGGCCCGCCCGGTCTGTGCCAGCCAGAGCGCAGCGACGCCCTAAGGCCCGAGCCCTCCCTCCGATCCAGCCTTGCAGCGCACAGCTCCGGCCCGAGAGGGCGCCAGGAGCCGCCTTACGGCGCGCCAGGGTCTCCGTCCCAGTGCTCGGGCTCAGAGAGGTTCCCAGCCGCGCGCCACTGCCCCCCGCCAAGCTGAGAGGCGGCTTCCCTTCTCCTCCCGGAAAAGTCCGCGAAGTGTCTGCTGCCAAGTGCACTCCCGGATTCAGGGAGGAGGGAGACACGGACACAGTGCGCCCCGGGCCAAGCTTAGCGGTTGCGGTTGAAAGGCGGTCGGTCACCTTGGGCCCAGGCGCCTGGGGAGGCCCAGACAGGGGGCAGGAGGCGTCCAGGGTAAGGGAAGAGATCGGCTGGGGCCGGATCATGCGGTTCGAGGACAGGATCGATGCCCTTGCGCGGGCCGCCCTCCCCTAAGGACATTTTCCACTTTCCCTCTAATGGAAGCAGACTCTTCCCTTCTCCTGCCCCCAACCCCACCATTCTGGGGTGACCAGAAGGAAAGATATAGTTACCGGCAGGGCGCGGGTGGCTCATGCCCATGATGCCAGTACTTTGGGAGGCCAAGATGGTCGAATCACCCTGAGGTCAGGAGTTCCAGACCAGCTTGGCCAGCATGGTGAAACCCCCGTCTCTACTAAAAATACTAAAAAAAATTAGCCGGTCATGGTGGTGGGTGCCTGTAATTCCAGCTACTCAGGAAGCTGAGGTGGGAGAATCGCTTGAACCTGGGAGGCAGAGGTTACAGTGAGCCAAGATCATGCCACTGAACTCTGGCCTGGGTGACAGAGTGAGACCCTGTCTCAAAAAAATAAATAAATATAGGGCTGGGCGCGATGGCTCATGCCTGTAATTCCAGCACTTTGGGAGGCCGAGATGGGTGGATCACCTGAGGTCAGGAATTCAAGACCAGCTTGGCCAACATACCGAAAACCTGTCTCTACTAAAAACACTAATGATTAGCTGGGCGTGGTGTCGGGCACCTGTAATTCTAACTACTCAGGAGGCTGAGGCAGGAGAATTGCTTGAACCTGGGAGATGGAGGTTGTAGTGAGCGGAGATCACACCATTGCACTCCAACCTGGGCAACAGAGTGAAACTCTGTCTCAAAAAAAAAAAAAAAAAAAGTTTACCCCGTGTCCCCTCCCTCCAAGCCCCACTGGTGATGTCCCTCTTCTACAGGCAGCAACTCTACACAGCCCTCTCCAGGGCCAAGAGGTGGTAATAGCTGTCAGGTGTTGCTAACCCCAGGGTGTTTGTACTGTGCCTTGATGGTTTCCATCACCTATATAAACTGTGTCTTTAAGTTCTCATCAACTGCTGTGTTCAAGTGCGAAATCTTTCCTACCAGGATTCCAGCTCTGACAAATTTCAGTCTCACAGTTTACACATCTAGGCTGGGCTGGGTGAGGTGGCTCACGCCCATAATCACATCACTTTAGGAGGCTGAAGCAGGTGGATCATTTGAGGTCAGGAGTTCGAGACCACCCTGGCCAACACGGTGGAACCCCATCTCTACTAAAATTACCAAAAAAAAAAAAAAAATTAGTCAGATGTGATGGCATGGGCCTGCTACTCAGGAGGATGAAGCAGGAGAATCCCTTGAACCTGCCAGGTGGATGTTGCAGTGAGCCAAGATGGTGCCACTGTACTCCAGAGCAACAGAGTAGACTCAGTCTCAAAAACAAACAAACAAAAATCTAGACTGGGTGCCGTGGCTCACGCCTGTGATCCCAGTGCTTTGGAAGGCTATGGCAGGAGGATCACTTGAGACCAAGAGTTTGAGACCAACCTGAGCAACACAGTGAGACTCCACTTCTAAAAAAAAAAAAAAAATTACGTATATCTTTATGCCAATGTCTCCCAAATTTACCTTTCACTCTGACTGCTCCCTTAGGCTTTGGACTCACATCCAGCAGTCTCCGGTCTAATAGACATGTCAGACTGAACATTTCCAAAACTGCATTCTTGGTGCTTCCAACCGGACTCCTCCTCACTGTGTGTGTCAATTTCGGCCATTCAGTTCTGCGTACAAAACATACCCCAGGAGTCAGCCTCCAGTTAATCAGCAAACTCTCTTGACTCTGCCTCCAAACAGATTTTGGATTCATCCACTTCTCTCCATCCTTGTTCCAGCCACCTCCTCTCTCTCTCTCTCTTTTTTTTTTTTTTTTTTTTTTTTTGAGACAGTCGCACTCTGTCACCTGGGCTGGAGTGCAGTGCAGTGTCACCGTCTTGGCTCACTGCAACCTCTGCCCTCCAGGGTTCAAGCAAGTCTCCTGCCTCAGCCTCCCGAATACCTGGGATTACAGGTGTGCATCACCATGCCTGGCTAATTTTGGTATATTTTTTAAAACTATAAACTTTTGGCCAGGCGCGGTGGCTCAAGCCTGTAATCCCAGCACTTTGGGAGCCCGAGGTGGGCAGATTATGAGGTCAAGAGATTGAGACCACCCTGACCAACATGGTGAAACCCCATCTTTACTAAAAATACAAAAATTAGCTGGGCGTGGTGGCTTGCGCCTGTTACTTGAGTCCCAGTTACTCAGGAGGCTGAGGCAGGAGAATTGCCTGAACCCGGGAGGCAGAGGTTGCAGTGAGCTGAGATTGTGCCACTGCACTCCAGCCTGGCACCTGCTGACAGAGTCAGACTCTGTCTCAAGAAAAAAAAACAAACTTTTTTTTTCATTTATTTATTTAACTTTAGGTGCATACTGTATCTGGCATTTCTCCCCATGTTATCCTCCCCACCCTCTCCTCCCTCCCCACCCGCCACTGTCTCTCCCCTACCCCTGACAATTGCCCCCTGTGTGTGATGCTCCTCTTCCTGAGTCCACGTGTTCTTGTTCAACACCCGCCTATGAGTGAGAACAGACGGTGTTTGGCTTTCCGTTCTTGTGTCAGCTTGCTGAGAATGACGGTTTCCAGATTGATCCAATTCCCTACTAATTTTTGTATTTTTAGTAGAGACGGAGTTTCACCATCTTGGCCAGGCTGGTCTTGAACTCCTGACCTCGTGATCCACCCATCTTGGCCTCCCAAAGTGCTGGGATTACAGGTTTGGGCCACTGCCCTCGGCCCAGCCACCTCCTTTCTCTCAAAGATTTCCATCAAGTCACACACAGTGGCTTGCTCGTAATCCTAGCTACCCTGGAGGCAGAGGCTGGAGGCTTGTTGAGCCTGGGAGTTCAAGAAGAAACCTGGGCGACACAGTGAGACCCGTCTGTAAAAATAACAAAAACGAATAAAACAAAGGCTCCCACCAAATTTAGAATAAAAATCCAAATTCCCGCCGGGCGCGGTGGCTCAAGCCTGTAATCCCAGCACTTTGGGAGGCCGAGGCGGGTGGATCATGAGGTCAAGAGATCGACACCAACCTGGTCAACATCATGAAACCCTGTCTCTACTAAAAATACAAAAAATTAGCTGGGCATGGTGGCACACGCCTGTAATCCCAGCTATTCAGGAGGCTGAGGCAGGAGAATTGCCTGAACCCAGGAGGCGGAGGTTGCGGTGAGCCGAGATCGCGCCATTGCACTCCAGCCTGGGAAACAAGAGCGAAACTCCATCTCAAAAAAAAAAAAAAAAAAAAAAAAAAATCCAAATTCCCTACCTTGCCCCAGAAGGCTCTGCCCACCTCTCAAGTCACATCTTCTCACACTGTCCCCTTGTGTCACTTCACTTCAGCTTCACACTTTCCCTCCACCCCTCCCCCAAATGGGGTGCCCTCCCACCCCAGGGCCTTTGCACTGCAGTTGTCTCTGCTTGAAATGCCAGTCACATGGCTGGTTCCTGCAGGTCTCACCTCAGATGTCACTTCTTCAGGGAAGTGGTCGCTCGTCACCCAGCCTACAACAGCCCTCCTTTAGCCCCGTCCCAGGTGTTCTCAATACCTCACCTTCAGTTACAGTTGTCACCAATTGCTTTTATTTTTATTTATCTTTTATTTATTTATTTTATTTTTTGAGACGAAATCTCGCTCTGACACCAGGCTGGAGTGCAGTGGTGCAATCTCGGCTCACTGCAACCTCCGCCTCCCGATTCCAGTGATTCTCCCACCTCAGCCTCCCGAGTAGCTGGTACTGCAGGCTCACATCACCACACCCAGCTAATATTTGTATTTTAGTAGAGATGGGGTGTCACCACGTTGGCCAGGATGGTCTCAATCTCTTGACCTCGTGATTTGCCCGCCTTGGCTTACCAAAGTGCTGGGATTACAGGCTATCATTTTTTGAGATGGAGTCTTGCTCTGTTGCCCAGGCTGGAGTGCAGTGGTGCTATCTCGGCTCACTCTAACCTTTGCCTTCCAGGTTCAAGCAATTCTCCTGCCTCAGCCTCCCGAGTAGCTGGGACTACAGGCGTGCGCCACCACGGCCAGCTATTGTTTTGTATCTTTTATAGTAGAGAGAATTTCACCTTGTTAGCCAGGATGGTCTCCATCTCCTGACTTCACAGGCACGGTGGCTCATGCCTGTAATCCCAGCACTTTGGGAGGCTGAGGCAGGCGGATCACCTGAGGTTGGGAGTTCGAGACCAGCCTAGCCAACATAGTGAAACCCTGTCTGTGCAAAAATACAACAGTTAGCCAGGCATGATGGCAGATGCCTGTAATCCCAGCTACTTGGGAGGCTGAGGCAGGAAAATTGCTTGAACCCAGGAGGTGAAGGTTGCAGTGAGCCGAGATCGCACCACTGCACTCCAGCCTGAGTGACAGAGGAGACTCCATCTAAAAAAAAAAAAAAGATAAAAATCCAGAATAGGTACATCCATAGAGATGGACACAGATTGGTGGTTGCCAGGGACAGGAGGCAGGGGAAGGAGTAGTGACCACTTCCCTTTGGGTGGATGAAAATGTTCTGAACCAGACAGTGGTGAGAATTGTGAATGTACTAAATGTCACTAATGGTAAATTTTGTTATGTGTGTTTTACCACGATAAAAAAGTAATTTTAGAAAATGGGCCGTGTGAGGTGGCTCATGCCTCTAATCCCAACACTTTGGGAGGCAGAGGCAGCCAGATCACCTGAGGTCAGGAATTTGAGACCAGCCTGACCAACATGGAAAAACCCTGTCTCTACTAAAAATACGAAATTAGCTGGGCATGGTAGCACGTGTCTGTAATCCCAGCTACTCAGAAGGCTGAGAGAGGAGAATCACTTAAACCCAGGAGGCAGAGGTTGTGGTGAGCGATATAGTGCCATTACACTCCAGCCTGGGCAATAAGAGCAAAACATCCATCTCAAAAAAAAAGTTCTCTTGGCCGAGCACGGTGGCTCAAGCATGTAATCCCAGCACTTTGGGAGGCCGAGGCGGGTGGATCACGAGGTCGAGAGATCAAGACCATCCTGGTCAACATGGTGAAACCCCGTCTCTACTAAAAATACAAAAAATTAGCTGGGCATGGTGGCACGTGCCTGTAATCCCAGCTACTCAGGAGGCTGAGGCAGGAGAATTGCCTGAACCCAGGAGGCGGAGGTTGCGGTGAGCCGAGATCGCGCCATTGCACTCCAGCCTGGGTACCAAGAGCGAAACTCTGTCTCAAAAAAAAAAAAAAAAAAAAAAAAAGTTCTCCACCAGCTGCAGTGGCTCATGCCTGTAATTCCAGCACTTTGAGAGGCCAAGATGAGAGGATGGCTTGAGCCCCAGAGTCTGAAACTGCAGTGAGCTATGATTGCACCACTGCATTTCAGCCTGGGCAACAGAGCGAGACCCCCCATGTCTAAAAAAATAGAAGTCTCCAGCTTGTGTGCTATGCAATAGTGCTCTCATGTGGGTGAGTCTTGGCTGGCAGTCGGACTCAAGATGATAGGGGTGCCAAGTAGAAATGCCATTCTCTGGTGGCAGGGGGAGTCACTAACTTGGTACTCTCGCCCCCACGCCTGACCACGAGTGTGAGAAAGCGTGTTTTCCGGGAGGCAGCCGAGTGCAACAAAGAGGCCAGAGGCTGGTGAATAATTTATCAGGACAGCTGATAGTACCTCCCCAGAACTGCCCTCCAGCCCCCAGCCCCCCTCTCTGGTGTGCCTCCCGCCTCTCTGCCCCAAACCCGCTGGACCAGCTCTCCCGGTGCCCGCCCGCTGCCCCCCCCCACTCCAGACAGCCAAGTCATAGCCTCCGGGGCACCTTCAGGAAAGCGGGTGGTGGGTCCAGAATTCGGAGACCAGAAAGTGAACTTCCGGGCAGAGATGGCCCTGCAGAGTCAGGTGTGGTCTCCAGCCACTCCCATGTAAGTGTCAGGGGGTCAGGGGGGCTGGTGGGCAGGGCCTTGGGAGGGGCTCATGGGGGATGCCGGCCTTGTCTGGGAGCTGAGAGCTTCAGTAGCCTCTCGTAAGGGGACCTGGGGAGTGGAGGAGATGGCCAGCCAATTCCATAGGCTCCTCAATGTCACTGTTCCCTAGGGAGTCATGGGGTCGGGGAGACATAGACTCCCCCTGCCCCTTCCTCTTCGGGGAATCTTCTGCTGCCAGGGCTGAGAACCCAAAGTGCAGCCAGGGGGCGGGGCTGTTGCTGTGGTTTGGGGAGTGGGGAAGGTCAGGGTCACTGGGTTCCACGTTTTGCCTTTAGAATCACCCCCTCAGTGTCCGGGGTAGGAGAAAAGGCTTGAGTCAAACGGAATTGTAAAGCTCCCAGCCTGGGAAAGACAATGGCAACGTGGCAAGGATGACCTCCTTCATGAAATGGCCACCAGCTGCGGAGGGTGGCCAGAAGCCCAGGCCGCCTGCGTTGTTCTTGCAGAGTTAGAGATAAGCAAAATGGAATGGGCTGGGCGAAGTCTTTTCACATCTGAGGGGCGAGAGCTTTCTCAGGTTAAAGGGCAGAGGTTTGGAAAGAGTTCTGGAAAAGGGGCTCCCCGCCACACTAGGGACCCCAGTTCGGCTCCTCGCCCTTCTAGGTCCTCCATTGCATTATTCACCAACTACAAACCTGGTTGCTTAGCAATGGGAACTCGATCCCCCCCAGCAAGGAAGAGGCAGGGAGATTACATCTTGGGGGTAGGACAGGAGAGCTGGGGACTTCAGCCCTCCCCCAGGGGCAAAGCCATAAGCACGGAATCTGGGCTTCCTTTGGGATATCCTGCAAAGCATGACTTCATGGCCGGGCAAGGTGGCTCACGCCTGTAATCCCAGCACTTTGGGAGGAAGAGGCAGGTGGATCTCTCGAGGTCAGGAGTTTGAGACCAGCCTGGCCAATATGGTGAAACCCCGTCTGTACTGAAAATAAAAAAATTATCCTGGCATGGTGGTGCGCACCTGTAGTCCTAGCTACCCGGGAGGCTGAGGCAGGTGAATCGCTTGAAACCAGAATGTGGAAGTTGCAGTGAGCCAAGATTGAGCCATTGCACTCCAGCCTAGGTGACAGAGTGAGACCCTGTCTCAAAAAAGAAAAAAAAGCGTAACTTCAATTCAATTCATTGCCCCAAACAGCATTCAGGGTCCCCAGGCTGATCTCTTAGCTACCATGATGGGGGTTCCTGAACCTGCACCTCCCCGCCACCTGTGCTCTCAGTATCTGGGATCTGAGAGCTTCAAGGTCTGATCTTGGCTCCATGTCCTTGGACAAATCCAGCTGCTGCCACTTCTCAGAGCCTCAGTTTTTCCATCCGTAAAATGGACACATTCATGGCCGGGCGTGGTAGCTCATGCTTGTAATCCCAGCACTTTGGGAGGCCAAGGCAGGCGGATCACCTGAGGTAAGGAGTTTGAGACCAGCCTGACCAACATGGAGAAACCCCATCTCTACTAAAAATACAAAATTAGCAGGGCGTAGTGGTGCATGCCTGTAATCCCAGCTACTTGGGAGGCTGAGGTAGGAGAATCGCTTGAATCTGGGAGGCGGAGGTTGCGGCAGGCCGAGATCGCACCATTGCACTCCAGCCTGGGCAACAAGAGCGAAACTCTGTCTCAAAAAAAAAAAAAAAAAAGAACGCATACATACGGCTTACCTCCTAAGGTCATTAGGAATGACTCAGTGAATTACATTAAGTAGAGTCTTTCCAACAGCACCTGGCATGTGTTATGGGCTGGCTAATGTGACTGATTTTGTTCTTAGCTGGAACGTCAACTCAGCAAAGAGTTGACTCCACTGTGTTATGATGGAAACGAGGAGTGGGAGGCAGAGGTGGCTGTGGGAGCCCAGCGGAAGCCCTGTGGGACACTTAGAACATTGTATGTAGTAAGTGCATTTATGCCATCATGGAATGGCTGAGGAAGGTCTTGGAGGTCCCAGTTGGAGTTTGGGCAGCGAGGCTTACCCAGGAGGGTGACTGTTCAAATTAATAAATGTTTGAGGGCTTGATCAGTGCTCATCCATGTTGGAGATGACAGGCAGAGAGACGTCACCTTCTAGATACTGGCCTGTGACACATCATCAACATAGTGACACAGTTGGGGGTGCTTAAAGCATGTCTGTGTTGATAAGGGTGGTGTGTCCTGATTGTATTTTTGCTGTAAAAAAAAAAAAAAGAGAGAGAGAAAAAGTTGGTGTGACACTGACTGCCCCCAATCACCTTGCAGTATGACAGTCACCTTCTAGCTTCCAGAGGGAACCTAAGTGGGTCCAGAGGCCACTCTGAAGTAGCTATGCTTTGAGAAAGAGAACGACACGGGAATCACGAGTTAAACCTTGAACAGCAAGTCCCCCTCCTCCCAGCTCAGAGTCCAGTCCTGGACAGAGTGACCCAGTGACCCTTGTCCCCAGGGAAGGGGGTTGGCAGGTGGAGGAGGCAGTTCTGGAGTTACCATGGCAACAATGGGAGAGTCAGAGACTCCCTCAACCCCCCAGCGCTTGAGAAATTCTGGGTAGGAGCTGAGGTCCAGACAGAGTGTGGGACTGAGAAAACAAAGAGACACACAGCCTGCTGGGGGCCTGGTGGCATTTGAGCGTTTCTGCAGGTCAGACTGGGGATGATTATTATAATTAATCATACATATTATTTATCATGGAATTATATACATTCTCATTATTAATAAACAATAGGACCATTTTTGTACCACTGTATCCTAAACCTTTCCCTGCAAGAATAATAGTTCCTTGCAAGGGTCCTCTGAGATCGGGAGTGGTGAGGGCGGGGTGGTCAAGCTATCCTTGCCCACTTTACAGGTGAGGAAACTGAGGCTGAGAGAGGCAATACCACATTTAGAAAGGACTTTAGTCTCAGCAGTCATGGTCGCTGCTCAGTTCCCCTCCCAAGACTCTCGACCCCTGCCCAAACTCTTCTCAGGTGCAAAGGGGAAACAGAGACAAAGTGCTGGGCTCTGAGTGGTTTCCACACTGCTCAGGGATCTTGGCCAAGAGAGGGGTGTTCAAGAGGGGTACCGCCTCTGGGAGCCCCTTGAAGCCCCTGCCTTCTCCTCACAGGCCCATGGCGGAGAGCTCCCTCTACCGGCAGCGGCTAGAAGTCATCGCCGTAAGTGACGCCCTCCCCGCACCCTGGGCACCCCAAAGTCTGCCCCACGCTCCCTCCTTTTCTCTCTGTCATCCCTGCAGAGAGCACTCTCAGCCCCAGCCTCGCCCAGAGCTCCGCACATCCATTCTCAGCCCCCTCTGTCTCCCAGTTCTTGTCTGGTCACTACCACCCTCAGAATGGGGGACTGTGGCCCCCGCTTTTCCAGAACCTGCACCATCTGATGCCTCATTCCTGAACCCTAGCCTCCCAAACACTCCAAGCGTGAGCCCCATCTTTCGGACCGCCGTTTATCAGATGCTGTCTCTCAGATCTGTCTACCTCGGAGACCCCATCCTGAAAGTCCTCTCTTGGGGTGAGGGCTTTCATCTCTGACTTCCTTGTCTCTCTGAACTCCCCCATCTCTGGGTCTCTACTACTCTGATCCTATCTCTGTCCCCATCCTTCTCTCCTACATCTCCCTGCACCCCAACTTTCTGCACCCACTTCCATACCCCATCCATACTGCCACCTCTGTACCCCACGTTTCTGACTCCCACATCTGCATCCCATCTCCCTGATCCCCATCGCTACACCTCAGTATCTCTAGACCCCCATCTGCACCCCCATCTCAATAGCATTCTCTTGATTGCCGTCTCTGCACCCCATCTCTCTGGACCCCCATGGCTGCACCCCCATTTTGGACCCCATCTCTCTAGCATCTTCCTTTTTATCCCCATCTATAGAACCCCATCTCCCAGCACCCTGCCTCCCTGTACCCCCCGTCTACACCCCATCTCTCTGTACCCACCTCTCTATACCCCACTCACCGTACCGCACGTCTGTAGCCCATCTCTCTGCACCCCCACCTCTGAACACCATCTCTCTAGATTCCATCTCTACACTCCCGTTACTCTGGCCTCCCATGGCTGCACCCCCATTGCGGATCCCCATCTCTCCAGTACCCTCCCTCCACTTCTGTTTTGAGACGGAGTCTCGCTCTGTCGCCAGGCTGGAGTGCAGCGGTGCGATCTCCGCTCGCTGCAACCTCCGCCTCCCGGGTTCAAGCCATTCTCCTGCCTCAGCCTCCCCAGTAGCTGGGACTACAGGCGCGCGACACCACGCCCAGCTAACTTCTGCGTTTTTGGTAGAGCCAGGGTTTCACCATGTTGGCCAGGGTAGTTTAGAACTCCTGACCTCAAGCGATCTGTCCGCCTCGGCCTCCAGATGTCCCGTGATTACCGGCTCGAGCCGCCGCGCCCAGCCGCACCCTCCCTTTGATCCCCGTTTTTCTGAACCTCACATCTTGGCGCTCCGCAGCTCTGCCCCTCCTTCGGATCGCTGTCCCGAGGCCCCACCCCCTACACCCCCCATCCGCGGACCCCCATTGGGCGCGGGCGCGGCCTCCGCAGCATCCCGGGCGCGGCCAGCCCCGCCCCCGCCCCGCCTCCCCCCCCCGTGCCCGCCCGCCGCTGAGTCAGCGTCTCCGCAGCCCCCTCCCCGCCCTGGGCGCAGACCCCCGCCGGGCCACCCTCGCCGGGCTCGCTGCCTCGGGAGCCCTGGGAGCTCCGGGGAGCCCCGCGGAGGAGGGAGGGGAAAGGGAGGGAAGAGGAGGTGGCGGAGGCCGCGCCCGGCCGGCGGGCAGCTCCGGGTCCTCTGTGCGCAGGAGAAGCGGCGGCTGCAGGAGGAGATCCGCGCCGCGCGCCGGGAGCTGGAGGAGGAGAAACTCCGCGTGGAGCGGCTCAAGGTTGGGGGCGGGCGGGGGCGCCTGCCTAGCCTGGGGCATGAAGTGGGGGGTGTCTTTGCAAGTCAATGTAGGGGACGATAGGAGCCTGTATCCAATTTTGGGGGGACAGCGGGCAGTTGGGGGCGTTGGTTCCAGCTTGGGCGGGGCGGGGGATGTCTTTCCCAGCCTGGGAGGGACGAAGTGGGGTGGTCTTGGGGACATTTGTTCCGTTTGGGGAAAAGTCTGGGACAGGGATGGTGGTTTGTCCCAAATTGAGGGAGATGGAGAGAAGCCCGAAGTCCCGCTTTGGGGTAGGGAGGGGCCAGTAGGGAGGGACATTAATTTCGCTTTGGGAATGCCTGTTTCATTATGGAAGGGATATGGGAACATGGGGAGTCTGCCCACCTACAGCGCTCGGGGGCACTATGGCCCTGTATGCCAGCCTGATGTATGTCGCAGCTAAGTGGTTGTGAGGTGGTGGTAAGATACCTGCCCAGCCTACAGCCATCGGGAGGGGACTTTACATGGAGCGGGGTAGTCTGTATGTCCAGCCCCGACTCCCTTCCCCTGCCCAGAGGAAGTCTCTCCGGGAACGTTGGCTAATGGACGGGGCAGCTGCAGAGCCAGAGCCGTCCGAGGACCCCACCTCGAAGGACCCCCAGTCACCGGAGGGCCAGGCTCAGGCCCGAATCCGGAACCTGGAAGACAGTTTATTCACGTGAGTGGAGACCTGCTAGAGCTGCCCCAACCCTGCCTTAGCTGGGTGAGATCGAGACCCTGGGCACGTTCAAGGAGGTGGTGGCTTGAGCCTGGGAGCCCGAGGAACCTGGGGGCCCAGCTTCTAACAGCCCTCTCTCCTCTTCAGACTCCAGTCCCAGCTGCAGCTGTTGCAAAGTGCTTCCACAGGTGCCCAACACAAGCCCTCAGGCAGGCCCAGCTGGCGCAGACAGGTGAGGGGGAGGATCGGGGAGTGGGATGGGGGGTAGTGGCCAGCAGGCATCAAAGCGGGACATGGAACAGAAGTGCAGCTTTCTCCAAGTGCAGCCTGGCCACCAGGTCTGCATTCGACCCACCTCCCGCTGTTACTTTGCTCAGCGGTCTTGGGCAAGTCCATTTCCTTTCCCAGGCCTTAGTTTCCCCATCTCTAAAATGGAAATAACAGCAGTACAAACCGTGGTGGCTCTCGCTGGTAATCCCAGCACTTTGGGAGGTCAAGCGAATGGATACGAGGTCGGGAGTTTAAAACCATCCTGGCCAATATGGCAAAACCCTGTCTCTACTAAAAATAGAAAAATTAGCCAGGCATGGCACGCGTGCCAGTAATCCCAGCTACTCAGGAGGCTGAGGCAGAAGAGTCACTTGAACCGGGAAGGCAGAGGTTGCAGTGAGCTGAAATCATGCCACTGCACTCCAGCCAGGGTGATATAGTGAGACTCCATCTCAAAAAACAAAAATAAAAAATAAACAGTACAAGAATTGCTGTTGGGAGGACTGGTGAGATCATGGCTTAGCACTAGTAGCAGGAACAAGGAAGGGCTTTTTTTTTTTTTTTTTTTTTTTTTTTTGAGATATAGTCTTACTCTGTCCCCCAGGCTGGAATGATCTCAGCTCACTGCATTCTCTGCCTCTTAGGTTTAAACGATTCTCCTGCCTCAGCCTCCTGAGTAGCTGGGATCACAGGTGCCTGCCACCATGTCCAGCTAATTTTTATATTTTAAGTAGAGACAGGGTTTCACCATGTTGGCCAGGCTGGTCTCCAACTCTTGACCTCAAGTGATCCACTCGCCTTGGCCTCCCAAAGTGCTGGGATCACAGGTGTGCGCCACCGCACCCGGCCTGGAGAGTTTTGATGTACAGTTACTAATACAGCCACATGAGAAATGCAGAACATGAGGGCAGGCTGAACATGCTGGCTCATGCCTGTAATCCCAGCACTTTGGCAGGCCAAGGTGGGTAGATCACTTAAGGTCACGAGTTGGAGAACAGCCTGGCCAACATGGCGAAACCCTGTCTATACTAAAAACACAAAAAAATTAGCCCGGTATGGTGGGCATGTCCCTCTAGTCCCAGGTACTGGGGAGGCTTAAGGCAGAAGAATCACTTGAAGCCTAGAGACAGCGACACAAAAAATTACCCAGGCCGGGTGCGGTGGCTCATGCCTGTAATCCCAGCACTTTGGGAGGCTGAGGCGGGTGGATCATGAGGTCAAGAGATCGAGACCATCCTGGTCAACATGGTGAAACCCCATCTCTACTAAAAATATGAAAAATTAGCTGGGCATGGTGGCGTGTGCCTGTAATCCCAGCTACTCAGGAGGCTGAGGCAGGAGAATTGCCTGAACCCAGGAGGCGGAGGTTGCGGTGAGCCGAGATCACGCCATTGCACTCCAGCCTGGGTAACAAGAGTGAAACTCCGCCTCAAAAAAAAAAAAAAAAATTACCCAGGCGTGGTGGTGGGCGACTGTAATCCCAGGTACTCGGGAGGCTGAGGCAGGGGAATCGCTTGAACGGGGAGGCAGAGGTTGCAGTGAGCCGAGATCACACCATTGCACTCCAGCCTGGATGACACAGTGAGAGTCTGTCTCAAAAAAACAAAAACAAATTATGCCGAGCATGGTGGCTCAAGCCTGTAATCCCAGCACTTTGAGAGGCTGAGGAAGGTGGATCACGAGGTTAGGAGTTCAAGGCCAGCCTGGCCAACATGGTAAAACCCCATCTCTACTAAAAATACAAAAATTAGCTGGACATGGTGGTGCATGTCTGTAGTCCCAGCTACTCAGGGGGCTGAGGCAGGAGAATCACTTGAACCCGGGAGGCGGAGGTTGCAGAGCCGAGATGGTGCCACTGCACTCTAGCCTGGGTGACACAGCAAGACTCCATCTCAAAAAAAAAAAAAAAAAATTAATTTGTATTTACGTTTATTGGAATGTAAGTGCCAATGGCAAAAGGCTTAAGTGTCCCTTGTCCATATAACATCAGTAACTGGCAAAGCAGGCCGCCGATACAGGAGCCTGGCTGTGTGAATGCGGTGTTGTTAGGCACCGACTGTACAAGGCTCTGGAACATGGGTGATAAGATAGATGAGGAGGGCGGAGGTACGATGTGGATTTTGATCCTGAAGGTAATAGGGAGCCATCAAGGGTATTTGGGGGGGGGTGGAGTGGGGGCCTGGCATGCAGGGAGGCTGAGGGTGGGGATGAGGGCCAGCCTGACCTTGTCTCCGCCATGCCTGCAGGGTCACCGTCCTCTCTCCCAGCCCATCATCGAGGCAGGTTCTGCAGGTAAGTGTGGGAGCCTCTAGGTCTAGGGACCAGGTCACCGCAGAGCCTGGGTGTGAGCAGGTGCCCCCAAGGGAGCGTGGATGGGGGTCCTCTTGTTCCCTCTTTACCCTATCTTCCCTTTTGTCCTCTCCCCTCTGCCTCTGACTCCCCAGGCCAGACTGATCTGAACAAGAGAATCTCCCTGCCGGCCGGACTAGTGGGCACGCCGCCAGAGTCCCCCTCTGAGCCCAGGGAGGATGTCTTGGGGTTTCTGCCAGCCCCAAGGCAGGTCCCCAGGGCAGCAGGGGACTCCTCAGAAGCCAATGGCCCCTGTCCTGGCCTGAGCCCCCCTCCAGAGCAGGGGCCAGGTCAGAGGGCAGTGCCATCCCAAGGGCAGGTGGCCGAGGTCAAAGGAGGGGGCGTGGTGAGTGTGGTGTGGGAGGGGCTGAGGGCCACGGAGGACTGTGCCACAGGGGCCACAGGCCCCGAGCTGGAGGCTAAGGTGGAGGAAGTGGTGCTGGAAGCCATCGGAGACAGGAAGAGAGCTGGCAGCCTGGAGCTCCCGGGCTGGGTGAAGGAGGACAGGGGCATTGTGGAGGTGGTCTGGGAGGGGGTGGGCAGCAGCGACACAGAGGCCGTGGGGGAGGTAGGCCGGGTCCCCGAGGCCATGCAGACCAGCTTGCCTAGGCTTCAAGAGAGATTAGAGGCAGCAGCTTCCAGAAAAGGGGAAGATGTTCCCAGGGGCAGCCCTGAGGGTGACGGGCCGGGGGGCTCCGGAGGAGAGGAGGGGTCCTTCATTTGGGTGGAGAGAGTGACTCTCAGCGAGGAGTGGGAGGAGCTGCTGGTGGAAGGGTTGGAAGGGCCCGTGGTGGCAGGGAGGGAGGGAAGCGGCGAGAGTCTGTCGGGGGCTCAGGGGGCTGTGACGGGAGGAGGCGAGGAGTCCTGGGAGGCAGAGAAGAGGAAAGCAGAAGAATCCATGGGCAGAGCAAGTGAGGAAAAGCCAGAGACAGAGAGGGAGGGCGTGGAGATGTCGCCGGCGGTAGAGAGGAAAGGGGAGGGGTGGAAGTTGGAGCTGGAGAGCAGAGGCGGTGCAGAAGAGCTGGGGACAGAGAGGGAAGGAGTGGAGGGACCACTGGGCGTAGAGAGAAAAGAAGTTGAGGGAGACTGGAGGGCAGAGAAGGAAGGAGGTGAGGAAGAGCGGGGGGCAGAGAAGGAGGACGCAGAAGAACCACGGGGAGTAGAGAAGGAAGGAGGTGAGGAAGAGCCAGAGGCAAGCGAAGAACCACTGCAGGCAGAGGGAAGGGGAGAGGAGGGACCATTGGAGGCAGAGGGAAGGGGAGAGGAGGGACCATTGGAGGCAGAGGGAAGGGGAGAGGAGGGACCATTGGAGGCTGAGGGAAGGGGAGGAGATGAACCACTCGAGGCAGAGAAGACCCAAGGGGCCAAGGAAGGTCTGAGTCTAGAACGACAGGAGTCCAGGGAAGGAAGTGAATCCCAGGCAGAGGAGGTGAGTGAGGCAGGGACTCCCCTTGAGGCTAACACGGAGACACGGCCAGAGGAGGAGGAGGAAGGACCTCCGTCTCAGGAGAAGCCGGTAGGAGCCCTGGAGGAGGCAGTGAAGCCCCAAACCGCTGCTGAGGGCCAAGTCCCCTTGGGGGATGCCACACCCCTTCTGGCCGAGACCCCAGCTCCAGAGCAGCACGCCGAATGCCAGCCACTGCTTCGGGGGGAGGGGCCCAGCGCCAACCCCAGTGCCCACCCTGTGCCCACCTATGCGCTTGCCCGGCAGCCTGAGGCATCTGCCCCCACCGAGGGTGAAGAGGCCAGTGGCCCTAAGCAAAAGACGTGCCAGTGTTGTGCAGTCATGTGAGCCCGTGCCCCTGCACCCCACGTCTGCTCCTCTCAGCTACCTCGGCCTCTTGGCACCCAGAAGAGGATCCCAGGCGCAGACAGGGCACCACAGGACTGGCCATGGCACCTGGGAGCCAGCTAGCCCGAACGTCCACCTACACCTGGGCTTCCGGACCCCTTGCCCATTGCCTGTGACCCTGGCCGCCTTCTGCGATGAAGCCTTTATACTTGAAAATAAAAGGTGAAAGCACTCAGACAGCTTGAACGTGTGTGTAGTCAGCACAGAATCACTGCATCATCTCCTGGTGGGAAATTTGAGGGCTAAACCCTGCTACAGTGAAAGAATATGAATCAGTGAGAGTATAGATTGAGTTGCAGTAACAAAAAAGACCTCAAAGCTACAGTAGCTATAAAAATATAACAGTTTATTTTTCTCAGTGGTTCTGATCCATGTGGTGATTCAGGGATTCAGGCTCCTTTCCATGTCTTCCCCCACCTTCCCCTTGGGTATCGCCAAAACTGGATCATAGGCATGTGTTATGTTCCAGCTCATAGGTAAGGAAAAGGTAGGTGGGAGCCCCCATCCAGACCCTGTGTTGGCAAATGTCACTTCTGACCACATTCTGTTGTCAAGAACTCAGTCCATACACCTGGCTGCAAGGGAGCTGAGATAGTACCCAAATGTGGGGCACCACCTTTTCTTTTTCTTTCTTTCTTTCTTTTTTTTTTTTTTTTTTTGCTTTTATTTATTATTTATTTTTGAGATAGGGTCTCATTTTGTCACCCAGCCTGGAGTCCAGTGGTGCACACCACAGCTCTCTGCAGCCTCAAAATCCTGGGCTCAAACGATCCTCCTGCCTCAGCCTCCCAAGTAGCTGGGACTACAGGTGCATGCCACCATGCCCAGCTAATTGTTTTTGTTTTTTATGTGTTTTTGTAGAGAGGGGGTCTCACTATGTTGCCCAGGCTGTGTCTCAAACTCCTGGACTTAAGTGATCCTTCCACCTTGGCCTGCCAAAGTGCTGGGATTACAGGTTTGAGCCACTGTGCTGGGCTCCAAATGCAGTTCTGTTACAGCGGAACAGATCTTGGCAGGCAGCTGCCACTCTCAAATTTCATGTATTTTCCTTTGCTCCATCTTCCATCCGTGTCTTCCCCAGGGGGGCCAAGCCCTTCTCTGTAGGAGTCCTTCAGTCCCAGCTCTGCTTGGCTGGGTGTCCTCAGGCAAGTGACTCAGCCTCTCTGAGCCCTCCGTGTCTTCATCCATCAAGAGGGCTAATCCAGGACTGGGGTGCAGCCTGCATGAGCACCCCTCTGGCCTGGCTGGCAGCCTCCAGCCAGAGGTGAGGTTCAGGCCATAACCTGTGGCCTGAGGGGCCCCAGAAGCCCCAGCTCCTCGGGCGTGGGCAGGAAGTGCTTCTCATACCCAGAGTCAAGCGGGGCAGTGGCCTGGGGGTGCTGGGGGGACTCCATAACCGGCGGTGGTGGCTCCATCTCCTCCACTTCCAGTATGGGGAAGTCCCCAAGGGACTGGGCCTCAGGGACTTGCTGGGAAGAGATGAGCCTATAATCCTGCCCCAGCCTCCCCTGCCCACACCTCACCCCTCCCTACTGCTCCAGGACTCCCGATCTCCGCTCTGACAAGCCGGCCGCTGGACTCACCTCCATGTGGGGCTGGCCTGAACTGCTGTTGGCAGGATCAGGAACCTTCTCCCAGATCCAGCGGGGCAGCATCTTGTGCCGTAGGTGGTGGCACCTGGCAAGCCGGGAGGAGTCAGGGCAGCGGATCCAGGTGGCCAGATGCCCCAGCCCAGGGTGCAGGGGCCATGAATGTGACTGAGCCCCGAGGCCTCCCTTCAAGCCCCGTAGAAGCTCAGCAAAATGGCCAGTTGCCTTCCCCACGTGGGCAGAGATGCTCGCATCCGACAGCCTCACCTTCCAGAGGTGGCCAGCCTCAGGCCACAGCCCATCAGGAATAAGACCCACAAGAACAGGAGGCCCGGCAGAACTTTCCACTTCAGGGTGTTATCTGGTAGGGTAGGGAAGAGATCATTCTTAATTTTTTTATTTGATTTGATTTGGTTATGTTTTTGAGATGGAGTCTGGCTCTGTCGCCGGGGTAGAGTGCAGTGGCATGATCTCGGCTCACTGCAACCTCCGCCTCCCAGATTCAAGCGATTCTCCTGCCTCAGCCTCCCAAGTAGCTGGGATTACAGACGCATGCCACCACACCCAGCTAATTTTTGTATTTTTAGTAGAGACAGGGTTTTACCATGTTGGCCAGGCTGGTCTCAAACTCCTGACCTCGTGATCCACCCGCCTCAGCCTCCCCAAAGTGCTGGGATTACAGGTGTGAGCCGCCACGGCTGGCCAAGAGATAATTCTTAATTTTTAATTTTATTGTATTTATTTTATTTTAATTTTAGAGACAGAGTCTTGCCCTGTCGCCCAGGCTGGAGTGCAGTGGCACGATCTTGGCTCACTGCAACCTCTGCCTCCCGGGTTCAAGCAATTCTCCTGTCTCAGCCTCCCAAGTAGCTGGGATTACAGCTGCATGCCACCACACCTGGCTAATTTTTGTGTTTTTAGTAGAGACAGGGTTTTGCCTTGTTGGTCAGGCTGGTCTCAAACTACTGACCTCGAGTGATCCACCCACCCCAGCCTCCCAAAATGCTGAGATTATAGGCGTGAGCCACTGCGCCTGGCAATTCTTATCTTTTTTAAAGACGGGGTCTTGCTCTGTTGCCTACACTGGAGGGCAGTGGTGTAATCAGCCTACTGTGGCCTCCAACTCCTGGGCTCCAGTGATCCTTGAGTCTCAGCCTCTCCAGGAGCTGGGACTGCAGGTGTGTGCTGCCACATCCAGCTAACTGTTTTATTTTTTGTAGAGATGGGGTTTCACCATGTTGTCCAGGCTGGTCTTGAACTGCTGGGCTCAAGTGATCCACCTGCCTCAGCCTCTCAGGGTGTTTGGATTACAGGCGTGAGCCACTGCGCCCGGCTTCCATGTAATGACTCCAGACGCTACCTCTACCCCCGTGGAGCCCATCCCCTCCCTGTGGCAACCCCATCCCAACCCCCCTACCTGGTAGGTGAAGCCGGAGGATGGGACCAGGAGGGCCTTGTCCAGCAATGGTGGATGCCATCACCCACAGCTCACAGGGACCCCAAGGAAGGTCAGGCAGGGTGACACTCTGTGTGTCGCAACTCACTGGAGAACACAAAGAAGTTGGGGAGGTGGTCAAGCCTACCCCAGGGCCTTTGCACGTGCTCTTCCCGCTGTCTGCAATGCAGCATTCTCTCCCAGGCATCTGCATAGCTCCCTTCTCATTTTTTTTTTTTTTTTTTGAGATGGAGTTTCAGCTTACCGTGATCTCAGGTTACCACAGCCTCCACCTCCGGGTTCAAGTGATTCTCCTGCCTCAGGCTCTCGAGTAGCTGGGATTACAGGTATGAGCCACCACGCCCAGCCCCTTGCTTCATTCTCTACTCAGCACTATCACCATCTCATATACTGCTTAGATATTATTCTGTTTTGTTGTTTGTTGTTTGTTTTTAGACAGAGTCTCACTCTGTGCCCCAGGCTGGCGTGCAGTGGGACAATCTCGGCTCGCTACAACCTCCACCTCCCAGGTTCAAGCAGTTCTAGTGCCTCAGCTTCCCTAGTAGCTGGATTACAGGCCTGCACCACCATGCCTGGCCAATTTTTGTATTTTTAATAGAGATGGGGTTTCACCATCGTGGCCAGGCTGGTCTGGAACTCCTAACCTCAAGTGATCTCGCCTTGGCCTCTCAAAATGCTGAGATTACAAGCGTGACCCACCATGACCAGCCTTCTCTATATATATTTAAAATAATATATGAATATCGGCTGGGTGTGGTGGCTCACACTGTAATCCAAGCACTTTGGAGGCCAAGGCAGGCGGATCACCTGAGGTTGGGAGTTCAAGACCAGCCTGACCAACACGGTGAAACCCCATCTTTAATAAATAAATAATATATAAATATTATATATATGTACATATACATATAACTTTTAACTTAGTGACATGTAAAATTTTGCAAGGTGCCAATCAAGGCAAGGTAATTATGTTAAACACAAGTCTATCAGACAGAAAAACTGAAGTACTGATGTATTTAGGGGTGAAATGACACCAAAGACTCTAAGGAAAAAATATACATGCCAGATACATTTAAACAAGATTGGCAAAATAGACCAGGTGCGGTGGCTCATGCCTGTAATCCCAGCACTTTGGGAGGCTGAGGCGGACAGATCACCTGAGCTCAGGAGTTCGATACCAGCCTGGCCAACATGATGAAACACTGTCTCTACTAAAATACAAAAATTCGCCGGGTGTGGTGGCAGGCGCCTATAATCCCAGCTAATCGGGAGGCTGAGGCAGGAAAATCACTTGGACCCGGGAGGCAGAGTTTGTAGTGAACTGAGATCGTGCCACTGCACTCCAGCCTGAGTACAGAGCAAGAATCCGTTTCCAAAAAAAAAAAAAAAAAAAGGGAACCATACCATGGAGTTTTGTCATCCTTTTATCTTTTTCACTAATAAAATATGACAAGCATCTTTCAATGTCAATAAATATAGATTGGCATCTTCATTTTTAATGGCCAAATGAGACCCCATTACATTGACAGCCAAGAGGGCATTGACGACACCATGTATGGTCCCTGGGCCAAAGAGGCCCACATGGGGACAAGGGGTGGGGCTGACTGACGGGTGGGTCTTGTGGGAGCTGGGAGGACAGGCCAGCAGGCCGGGAAGCTCACCATTCATGCAGACGGAGGGGCGGTTTCCACTCCGTGAACACAAGGTGTAGTGGGTGAGGTGGCCCCGAAGCTGGTGCCTTGGGACCTCTCCCCATGCTATGGCAGGGGTCCCTGGAGGGGCATCTTGGAGTCGCCAAAGTGTTGGGCCTACTAGGGGTGCTGGGGAGGAAGACAGTAGGTCAAGGTTGGCCTGGGTTCCAGAAGCCCCCCATCCTCCAGCTCCACTTCTTACTTAGTTCCTCTCTGAACCCCCAGACGGGAGGTGCCGAGGCCAAGCCCGAAGCAGAGACTGTGGTCACAGTGATTCGATAGGGGATCCCGACCGTGAAATTCCCTGAGTGACAAAGGAACAAAGATCAGTTAGAGTTGGCTTTCCTTCCCCTGCTCATTTTCTACTTGCTAGGTGTCTTCATTGGGGTCCCCAGAAGGACACCCTCAGATAAGGATTTGAGTGTCAGTCATTTATCTGGGA